CTGCAGACAGTAACATTATTGGGGTCAGCACTTGCCGGGACAGCCCTTTTCGCTCACCTCCCCAGGTCTCCAGGGAACGCCCCTACAGCCGACCCCTCCCTCCCTGTCCAGCCTGGCTCCGGAAGATGCTTGTGTTCATTCGTTCACTCCTGCGTTCCCTCCCGGTCACAGCAGCCAGGGCCCTCTGGCCACATTTGCTGCCTCATCCTGGCATGGAGAGCAGAAGCTGGGATTGCTCCGTGAAGGGAGGAGCGGGGCTACTGAGGGCAGGCATGGGCCAGAGCTGGGGCACAGCCTCGGCCTGGCATTCACCCGGCCCTCAAGGAGCTTGGGCTTTAGTGACTCAGAGGCCAGCAACAGCAACAACAACAACAACAGGCACATCCCCAGTAGGTGCCCCATCTGGCATGTGACTGACCACACCAAGGAGAGGGGACCAGGCACGCAGCTCAGAGCAAGGGTCACACGGCAAGGATGGGGACTGGGACTTGGAGCTGGACACAGCCCACCTACCCACCTAAGCCCTCTGTAGGCCCCCTAAGCTCTTGGCTGCTCTCTGAGGCCAGTGAGGCTACCCAGAGCCCTGCAGGCTGGGCCTGAGATTCAGGGACCCGCATTGTTCCCTCATCCTTGCCCTGGCCAGAAATCCTGTTCAGCAAAGTGACCTCCTGACCCAAGGTGAGGGCGTCAAGCCGTTGCCTCCTTAAGGCCCTCAGATCTGCCCTCTCCACCTCGTGGTGGGAACACTGGGGCTTCCTTGCATGTCCTCAGACCCCTTCCAGCCCAGGCCAGGGAAGCCAAACAGGTTAAACTTGAGGGGAACACTATCCTTCTTGGGACCAGCCCCCTCCCACCACCTGCTGCTCCGGGAGGGCCCCAGGGACCCAGACAAGTGTCTGCCTCCTGCATCTGGGCAGGTTGGTGAACCACCATAGCAAAGAGGGTCTCCATGTGGACTTAGGTGGGCGCTCATGATGGCCAAGGAGGACCCTGCACAAGGGAGAAGCCAGCCTAGGCCAGGGCCCCAAAGCACCCAGGCAGTGGAGCCCCATTGAGAGCCCTTGTCTGCAGTGGTAGATGTCACATCCAAACAGAGGGTGGCAGAGCCCTACTTGAGGGATGACCACGGTCCTGGGACCTCTGTGGAGGGCCCGGTCAGCCTCCTAGGAAGGCCATCTGTTTCCGTGCTTCCAGACAGGGTCAACCCACACAGGACTCCTGCCTCCTGGGCTGGGTGGGCCCCTGGACTCCATCCACAGCCCCAGACTGCAGGCTTCTCAGGCCTGGCTCTTCTGGGGCCCCCAGCCTGGGGCTGGGAGTTCTGGTAGCTGTTCCCATGGTGAAGAGTCTGTCCCCAGAGGCCCTGCCTCACTCAGGAGGTGAACCCTGCAGCTACCATGCAGCCCCAGGGTGTAGAAATGTCCATCCACGGTCACGTAGTACCATCCGCTGCCCCCTGCTCTGGAGGGCGGGTGCCCGTGGCTGCCTCTGGGAGAGGACTGGCCACCCTATGAAGTCCCTGGCTGGTCTGGCAGCCACCCCCTTGCAGAGCCTGGGGTGCCTCTCCCCAGGAACCCTATGGCACAAGGGGCTCACTCCTGGTCCCCACCTCAGCACAGCCAGGAGCAGGGGGTCACACAGACAGACTTTCCTAGAGAAGCCGTGCAGAGCTGACCTCGGGCAGGCAGCTGGGAGTCAGGTGCATTCAGGACTGGGAGGGATGCAGATGATCAGGGTGAGCTGGTGTAAGAATCCTCAGTTGAAACAAGCAATGCAGCCTCCCTCACTTCTGGAGGAGATCCATATGTGAGAAATAGATGTGTTTCCTCCTCCTCACTCAGAGGAAGCACAGTTCTCATGCTTGATACATAGCAAGGGGTCGGGATGGTGGGGGCTGGGGTGCTCCAGGCAGCAGGGACCCATCTGGCCTCCTGCATCGAGGCCAGGTGGCAGAGGAGCAAAGGAGGTCACATCCCAGCGGGTGGTCCCATTGGGGCCCGAGTGACCCACAGGGGAAGCTGCTTGCATGTCAGGACAGTATCCTATGCTAGAGGCCTCAGCAGAGAGGCCTGAGCTTGGCTTTTCCTTTGGGTTCTCATCGCCTCTAGTAGCAAGGGCCTTGCCCTGTCCACAGCCAACCCAGACTTCTCTCCTGGGCCCTAGACCTGTCCAGCTGCCCCAATGTCTCTGCCTGGACATCGGTTTCTGTGAGGAGTCCTTAGAGGCATGCAGAACCCAAGGGAAGGCTGCCAGTAGCTCTCATGGGGCAGGAGGAGTGGGTGGAGGGAAGGGGGCTCTGGGATGTGTGAGCAGGAGCTTGCGGATGGTTGTTTTGGGTGCTGCCACCAAGCAAACCTACTTCAGCTGGATTTCAGTCCTTTCAGACCTGTGCTCCGTAGGCCTAACTTGGGTCCCAGCCATGGCTTCGGCCTTGGGACATAGCACTCGGACTGAACACCCACCAGGGCTGTACCCCCAGAAGCGGGAAAGCTCCCAAGGCAAAACTGCCCAGCTCTTTCAAATGAGCAAGCTGGCCAAGAAAGACATGGCCGCGACCATGTTTCCTGCACTACGGACCCCATGCTCTTCCTCTGGAGCTTGCAGTCCCCTTCCCAGACCTCCTCCTCTGCCTTGCCACCAACCCCGGAAGCCAGAGACTGGTGCCATTTCTGCTTCATTGTTCCCACCCTGCAGCCATGATACCTCTCAGCTCCTGCCTCCAGGTCCTGACCCTCCTGACACAGTACCAGCCACGCCTCCATGCATCTCAGCGCCACACTGTCTGCTTCCGTCCCCACTCTCTCCTCACTGACGCAAAGGGCTTTTTTAAGAATACACATGGACCTTGCCCTGGCCTCTGGGCACAAGGTCAATGTCTGCGCATCATGGATACCCAGAGCCCTTGAATGCTCCAGACCCAGCAAGAACAAGATCTCTGCCCCTGGGCTCATCTGTGCCCATCAGAGATAGGCCGGGACCCGGGAACTATTGGGACATTGGCAGAGAGAGAGGAAATACAAGCAGCTCCATGGATTCTCAGTTCAGATCGCAGTGGCAGGTTGAGTCCCAGGTTGCCTGGACACTGATGTAAACCTCTTCTCTACTCCTCAGGGTGCCCGTGTGGGGACCCAGGCTCCCAGGGTCTAGCACACTGACATGTCTTCCGAAATCCTGCCTCCAAGCCTCCCCTGGCCGCAGTGCAGCTTCCTCTCCCTGTGCCCATACCCCGCAGCCCTCCCTGCTGCCCCTCCCTCAGGGAGTTGCCTCAAAACCCCAAAGCCAGAAGGGGGTCCTAGGCCCCTTTAGCTCTGGACCCTGCAGCACCACCCCTTTGGGGTTGGAGAATGAGAGTGGCAGGCTGCCTTCTTGGAATGGGCCAAGAACAAAGCGAGGCAAGAACAAAAACACAAATCAATATTTCAATAAATTATCTTGCCACAGCAGCAAGATCACTTTGGCTGCTAAGAGGGGCTGGGAACCCGGGCTGAACCACAGAAGCCAGCATCTGGGAGAAGAGAGGTGGTTGGCCAGCATGGATTCAGTCTGCAGGGACGTGGAGAAAAAGAGGCCACTGCAGGGCTCTTACTCCAGGGTTCTGGAATAAGGCTGTTATGGGGAATGCGTTGTTTTGTCTGCGTGACTAATTTTAATTCAAGCCAGTGTTTACTATCAGGTAAGTGTCTGTAGAATACAGACTTTCGGATTGACCTGAGAAATCCGAGCCGGCAGCTCCAGGTCTCTGTTCCTGCCGGCACTGAGTGGATGTCGCTTCCTCCAGCTGTGCGTGGGCCCCTGGGTTTGCCACAGTCCTCACCACTCCTTATCACCCCCCTTATTAATTTATATTAATAAGGAAATATTCCTCTGTACCCTTTCTCCTTCAAAACTGGGAACACTCAAGATGGAGTTACTTTTCCTGCAACCAGCCTGCCTCATTGGCTTGTCACCCGCCTTGTTCCTATAGGCACTTGGGCTTCTAGCATCCTCCCAGCACTCCCCACGAGCCCACACACTGGGACAGGGGACCTCCCTACACAGCCCCAGCCTGCCTCAGCCTGGCTTCTGCCTGCAGCTCTGTCCCACCTGATGGCCTCATTCCTTCCTCTGGTACTGATACTGGGATATGTCTTTCTGGCTGGACTCCTGACTCCTCCTCAAAGACCTAGCCAGGACAGCCTTCTTAGTCCTGATGTCTAAATGAGAGTGCCTGCTGATATCATAAAGCAGAGAGAGTGTGCAGGACACTCAGTCCCGAGGCCACCCTGGCTGTTAAGCTTGTGTCATGATACAAAATGGAATGGGATGGTTCCCAGTGGCTTCCCATGCATGGTTCCTGTGGGAATCATCTGTGTATGCCCCTGTTCATCATACGGCTGTTTTTCTATTGGGCTGGTGCAAAAGTCATCACCATACTTTAATGGCAAAAACCATGATGATTTTTGCACCAACCGAATGTCAGTTGCAGTTTCTTTTCCTCCACTGTGTTGGGTTTCTGCAAGTACCTTTACACGGGGGGTGATGTAAGGTGATCTCTGGCCTCTGGGCTTCCACATCACACTGGGACTTCCGTCTCCCCTGCCACGGGCCCTCCCAGAACTGTGAGCTCTTTGGGGTGAAGTCCACATGGCATTTGCCTTCTGTCAAGGACTTGCACAGAACAGGTGCCTCATAGAACAAACACAGGGACTTCTGGAAATGGGGTAGACTGAGGGACTATGTGGGGCCTTAGATGACCTAGAGCTTGGCTTCCATATCTCACCTGAAAATTGCAGTGATTTTGTGTGGAAACTCACACAGGTGAGTGTGACTGGGGAACATTTTCTTCCATGTAGAAGAATGGAGCCCAGTAGGAGCAGGTCCTGAGAGGGACCTGGCAGAGCCTTTGTGTCACCTCGACCAGGTTCCCAGTGGATGGGCTGTCAACACTCCAGCCTGCTCAGCCCCCCACTAGCCCACCAGGCACCAACCTCTCTCTTCCATTTCTCTCCATCCCCCTGCAGTCCATGAGCCTCATCGAGATTGGGAACCCCTCTCAGAGTCTGGAGAATGTCTGCCGCTGGGCCTACCTCCAGCAGAAGCCAGACACGGACCACGATGAATACCACGATCATGCCATCTTCCTCACACGGCAGGACTTTGGGCCTTCTGGCATGCAAGGTAAGCCTCACCCCTGCAGGGCCACAGAGAGGCGTGAAGCTGGAAATGAGCCCCTGGTCGTGCGAGGGGCCCCCGGCAGCCTTGGCCCAGCCCAGGGAAGAGTGTCAGGGCAGGGAAGGCTGTGGCCACCTCAGCTGGGCGAGGGTGTGGGTCAGTGCATAGACTGACAAACACATCATTGGAACAGAATACAGTGTCCCGAATTGAACCTATGTATACAGGGGCACTTGACTTATGTGTCACAAAAGTGTCATTTCAGAGAAGAGGAAGAAAACAGTCTAACAAACGGTATGAAGCCAATTTGGAAAGAAAGGAGGCCTATCACTTCCATTCACTCTATAGACAGCATCTCACGTGGATTTTAGATCTAAATAAGAAACACAAAACAATTAAAGAAGGTAACAGGCAGAAAGCTCCATGTTCTTGGAGTCAGAGACTTTTTCTTTTAAAAGAGACAAAAAAAATACAAACTCAATAGAAAAAACTGATAAATAGTAGCACATTTTTAAAGCTTGTACACTAAAGGCACTACAAATCCACTGGGGAAATATTTATTATACATATATCTAAAAAAGGACACATCTGAGGTATATGAAGAACTCCTACAAATAATAGCAAGGTTAATAAAGACAATCCCGTCTGAAAATGGGCAGGAGACTTTACCAGGCTCTTAAAAAAATACGAATGAACAATAAACATATGAAAAGGCACTCAACCTCAGCTGACATTAGAAAAATGCAACTGAAACAATGAGGCTGGGCATGGTGGCGCAAGCCTGTAGTCCCGGACACTTGGGAGGCTGAGGTGGAAGGATTGTTTAAGTCCAGGAGGTGAGGTATGATCACACCGCTGCACTCCAGCCTGGGCAACAGAACGAAGCCTTGTCATAAAAAAAAGGGGGGAGGGAGGGAAAGAAAATGAAACCACAATGAGATATCAAAACACACTTAATAGCATAAAGTTAAAAAGGCTGGACTGGAAGTACCATGTCTGGGTGAGGCTCGATAGCTCCCCGTCAAATGCAGTGTAGCCAGGTGCCGCCCTCAGCAGGTGATGAGAGAGCTCTTGGCTCTTTTGGCTTGGGGAGGGCACTAATGGGGAGCAGAGCTATCCCCTAGGAGAGGAAACCCACACAGCTTTTATATTAAGTGGCCCGATCCCTCATTTAAAAATGTGAAAGGGGTTGGGTGCAGTGGCTCACGCCTGTAATCTCAACACTTTGGAAGGCTGAGGCAGGCGGATCACCTGAGGTCAGGAGTTCAAGACCAGCCTGGCCAACATGGTGAAACCCCGTCTCTACAAAAAATATAAAAATTAGCAGGGTGTAGTGGCAGGTGCCTGTAATCCCAGCTACTCAGGAGACGGAGGCAGGAGAATTGCTTGAACCTGGGAGGTGGAGGTTGCAGTGAGCCGAGATTGTGCCACTGTACTTCAGCCTGGGCAGCAGAGCCAGACTTTGTCTCAAAAGAAATTTTTTTTTTGAAAGAACAGCCAAGGGTTACCAGATATTTTTAAAAATCAAAACCCAAAAAATTCTTACAGCATGAAAAAGATGGATCAAGATGTAGAACAAAACAAAAAGTTTGAAAACTGGCTCTAGGGAAAATAAAGAGAATTTAGAGACAAGAAAAGCATGTTTTTAAAAGTCGTATTCCCAGAATGTTTGAGAAAATATATCCATCAACCCAGAAGACGTTGCTATGAAGAATTAGAGAACAACAAAGCATTTGTGTAAAATTATGGATAGGATAGGGAAGGTAAAAAATCCAAAAGCCAAAATAAAAAGTCAAGGGCATCTCCCAATGGAAGCAAAAGACAAAAAGATTAACATGAGAGAAAAGTTAGGAGACATATGGTCCATCCAGAAGGTGTACTCTATCTAATAAGATTCAGACAGAGAAAACAGCCACAAAATAAAATAAAAGGGAAGGAAACAAAGAAAAACATAAATCTCGCAGGCTCCTGTAGTGCTAAGCAGGATGAATGAAAAACCCTCCCACAGAGGCAGCTGCCTATGCAAACCTTACATACAAAGGACAAAGAGGAGATGGCAGCGTTCTACTCTGGCACACAGACTCAACACTTGCCTCAAAATCTGCAGAGCAAAAAATTCAGATTTTCCTGTTTATTACAACAGGAAAAGACAAGGGCTAGATCACTATGGTTCTGTTTTTAGAAGCATACACCACCAGCTCACCCCGGTTCCCACTGGCCCTCCTTCCCTTCTCCATGGAACACCTGGCCTCAGGGTCTCTCCGTGGGGCACGGCAGGAGTGACAGCATGTTGGGATTCTGAAAGTCAGGGCTCCATGCTTGGCAAGTCTCTCGGAAGGCTCCCAGTGGTACAAGCAGAGACCTCGTGTGGCACCCACAGCCCTGTATACACTTCCCAATCTTGTCCAAGCCGCCTCCCTCTGCTGAGACAAGAGCTGGGGAAATGAATAGGTCTCATTCTCTCTCTTCCTCAGTTTGATGTGGGGTCTCAGCGTCATGAACTTCTGCCACCCTCCCACTGGCCCTGGGCTGTCATGGACCACTGGCCTCACCTTCTGGGGCAGTTCTGACTTCTCAGTTTACACCAGCCAGTGCCCTGCTGGGAGATTTTGCAGAGTGGTATGGCACATTGGCTGAACAGCTTTGCAGTCTCCTGTGGCATTATGAAAACAGGTCTAGCTATCTAGCTAGGGTCTCAAGGAACCCAGAGAAACAAGGGGAGACCCAGGAAACCCCCTTCCCAAGGAAATGGGCTTGGAGGGTGTGATGCCAGGCAGACGAGGGGCAGGATGCCTCTAGCAGAGAGGTATGGAAGCAGGTGCTGCTCGGGGCCACTCAGTGAGGCAGGCACGGGGCAGGGGCAGGGGCAGGGGCAGCCTGGGAGAAAAAGAATGTCAGGCAGGAAACTACTGAGGTGCCAGGCAAGCCATGGCAGGTGATGTCTGACTAAGCAGAGGCCTCCAGCTGCAGTGTGGCCATTACAGGCAGAATGGCCATGGGGCTTGGGTGGGGATGGGCTGGGGGCCTGCATCCAGTCACATGTCACAGGCCTGTCTGCTATGGCAGTTGCCTCTTGGACGGGGGCTACTTGGGCCTTGGGGAGGAGAAGCAGCGCCTGGGAGGTATGCCAGGCATCACCTTCCCATCCATGCTATGGCAGCATCTGGAGCCACCCCTTGTCTTCTCCCAGGCTATGCTCCCGTCACTGGCATGTGCCACCCGGTCCGCAGCTGCACTCTGAACCATGAGGACGGCTTCTCCTCAGCTTTCGTGGTGGCCCATGAGACTGGCCACGTGTAAGTGGCCTGGGGAAGGGTGGAGCGCAGAGGGGCCACCCTAGGCTCCCCAACTCTGGCTGCCCACTTTCCCTCTGTGCCTTAAGAGGGACACACCCTGTGTGAAAGCCACTTTGGGGCGTGGTCTTCTGTCTTCCCAGTGCTGGGCAGTATTGGCCCGAGGCCCACTTTCTGCAGAAGGAACCAGTCAAAGGAGGAAGGGCTCACCTGCAGACTGAGCAGCGGCTCTGGGCCAGCTAGAGCTGGGGGCCTTGCCCCTTTATCCCATCCAAGCCCCCCAGCAGGTGGGCTCTACCCCATGTTACAGAGGAGGCTCGGAGGCTTGGAGGGTGGCTCCCCTTGGGTTAGAAAGCTGGAGGCAGGGAAGCCACGGTTCCACCAGGTGTGCATGTCCCTCTTGGGGACAGGATACCTCGGGACTGCCCACTGGCCGCTGTCTCCCTAGAGTGCCTTGGCTTTCAAAGTGCAGCAGGTAGACAGTCGGTGCCACCTGGCTCAGGGTGGGCCAAGGTCAGGGGAGGCCCGTGGGGGAGGGATGGGGCACCCTCCTATCATCGGGGCTGGGGGATTCAGCAAGCTGCCTCATCCCTCGCAGACTGGGCATGGAGCACGATGGACAGGGTAACCGCTGTGGTGACGAGGTGCGGCTGGGCAGCATCATGGCACCCCTGGTGCAGGCTGCCTTCCACCGCTTCCACTGGTCCCGCTGCAGCCAGCAGGAGCTGAGCCGCTACCTGCAGTGAGTACTGCCCACGTCTCCTGAGGGCGACCCCTCAGTCCCTGGGATCAGCTCTGGGAGGGTGCAAGTCCCCATGCACCAGGGTCCAGCCAGAGCCCTCCAACCTTGGGTCCTCTAGCCTGTGTGCGGGGGAGGAGAGAGGACACACCTGTGAGGGGAGCCTGGTGTCTGGAGGAGAACCCATTGTCAGGGGTCTGTCCTTGAATGGTACATGGGCAAGGCAGCCACCCTGGGGTCTGCACAAGCCAGGTCCTGGTATCTTACACCAAGGACAAGAGATGCAGCAGGGAAACGGAGGCAGCACAGTCAGGGGCCGGGATGTGCAGGTAGGGCTGTTGTGGCAGCTCCAGCAGAGACCTCAGCTGCCTTCAGGAATGGGTGGTCAGCCTTGCTAAAGGCTGCTGTGTGTCCCCCACAGCTCCTATGACTGCCTGCGGGATGACCCCTTCGCCCACGACTGGCCGGCACTGCCCCAGCTCCCGGGGCTGCACTACTCCATGAACGAGCAGTGCCGCTTTGACTTTGGCCTGGGCTACATGATGTGCACGGCGGTGAGTATGGCATCCCTGCATCGGGGACCCCTCCCAGGCCTGGGGGGAGGCTGGCTGGTGTAGGGGCAGCTACTGGGACATTGTGAGGACGGGCCCAGTGTAGGAAGGACAGAGCAGCCTGCCAGCCTGTCAGAGTGGCAGCGTCTCCCTCAGCACCCACCACGCCTCACCCCCTAGGCACCCTCGGCCCACCTGGCAGGCCCAGGTGTGGTCCTGGGCAGGAGGTACGTGGGTGACAGGGCTGTAAACAGGGCATCAGCCAAGGGCAGTGAGAGACTGGCAAGGCCTTTGTGTCAGCCTGCAGAGGTCAAGAGGGCTTCCAAGGAAGAAGGGAGGCCTGCAGGCTAAGTGGAAGGAGAGGGCATTTAGGAAGGGAGGGCCACTGACACAGAGGCTGGAGAAGAGCGCGGCATGCACAGAAGTGCTCGCTGCCCTCCAGGGCCGAATGCCAGAGCCGAATGCCAGAGCCAAGCCCTCAGAGGAACCGGGCATCAGCACGGAGGCCGTGCAGTGGAGCTTCAGTGTCCGTGAGCGTCTGAATGCCCCCCTCTGCTGCATGAAGGAAGGAAGCAAAGGAGTCCCATTTTACAGATGAGGAAATGGAGGCCCACAGAGGCTAGATAACCTGCCTAAATCCACACAGCAAGCAAGTGGTGGACTCAAGTACCATACAGGAGGACTAACTCCTTCCATGACTGCCTAAGGAGTGCAGTGGACTCGATTCTCATGGCGATGGGGAGCTCTGGAAAGGCTTGAGTGGGGGAGCCTCAGGACCACGCCTGAATTTCAGCCGGTCCCTCAGGGACATCCTGCAGGAAGTGCTCTCAGGACAGGAAGTAGAAAGGCCAGGGAAGAGGACCGTGAAGTCCAGGGGACAGAGGCTGCGGCTGCAGAGAGGGTGGGCCTGTGAGTGGGGAAGTGCTTTGCCAGGGTTTAGGAGGGGAATCCACAGCAAAGGGTCCGTAGGTACCCACCTGGCCTCAGGCTGGCACCCAGGGCCCAGCTGCCTGCCAGGCTCCCTGAGGAGTGCAACCTCCAAAGGCTAGAGGCGAGGAGGCCCGGCCATGTTCAGGGACACTGCCACCCCCACACCATATGGGCAAGGTCCTAACTGCCCCAGAATCACGACACCCACCAGCCACATAGGCCAGTCACGGGCGAGTCCCACTGGGGCATCTCAGGTTACAGGACCCGGGGAGTGTGCGGGTGGCACCCCTGGGAGGTCCCTGAAGTGGGAGGCCCCTGGCAAGCTGTGGTGCTGTCTTCCAGTTCCGGACCTTCGACCCCTGCAAGCAGCTGTGGTGCAGCCACCCTGACAACCCCTACTTTTGCAAGACCAAGAAGGGGCCCCCCTTGGACGGGACCATGTGTGCGCCTGGCAAGGTGAGGCAGGACCAAGGGCTCTTCGAGGGCAGTAGGACAGAGGACTGGAATCTTAGGTGCCCAGGTTACCAGGGCCAGGCTCTGAAGTAGGGGCAGGGAGCCCTCTCAGGGACCTCTGCTGCCCTCTCCTTTCCCGTTTCCAATTACCCCTCACACTCCATACACCAGAGCTTCCTCCACCCTGTGCTTCTGATGCTGGAGTGTATCTGGCATGTGAGAGATCCTCATGGTGCTTCAAGCCCTGCACTTAGGACTCCCCCTCTGAGGAGCAGTTTCTGGGGTACTGGCAGCCTTCAGTCACCCCTGGGCACTGTGGGTCACCTCATCTTGAGGCGAGGGTCCTCATTAGGGTGCTCAGGCCCAGCATGAGGCTTAGCCTCTCCATCCCCAGGACCTCAGTGTTTGTCCCTGTTGGGCACGCTTGTCCTTCAAGGTCACTGGATGGTTGCCCCAGGCCCATTTCATACCCTCTGGGGACCCTTGAAAGAAGGGCTTCTTCCCTGTGGTCCTCCCTGAACTCCAGACCTGATTCGCATTGGTTCAGATGAAATCACACACCCACTCCTCAGCCAGTCACTTGCTAGGGGGCTGGGATATGTAGATGAGCTAAGCCTGAATCCTGCCCAGGAGGGCTCAACCCCATGGAGACTACACTGGCCCTGCAGGGCAGGGAGAGAGTGTGGAGTGGACACTGCGCACATCCCAGCCAGTCCTAAGTGCAGGTCCCACATTGTCTGGACCTGTGGCTCCTTGATGGAAGTCTTTGGCTCAGGACTGGGCCAGCTGCCTAATTTTAGTCCCTGGTGGAGCTTCTGAAACAAACAAATTCTCAGGCCCATCCCTGAAGACATTTGTTTGGGATAGGATCCAATAATTGTTTTGGGTTTTCTTTTTAAAACTATCGTAAAATTCACATAACATAAAATTCACTATTTGAACCATTTTAAAGTGCACAATTCAGGCCAGCCTTGGTGTCTCATGCCTGTTATCCCAGTACTTTGGGAGGCCGAGGCAAATCAATCGCCGGAGATCAGGAGTTCAAGACCAGTCCAGTTAACATGGTGAAAACCTGTCTCTACTAAAAATACAAAAATTACCTGGGCGTGGTGGCAGGAGCCTGTAATCACAGCTACTTAGGAAGCTGAGGCATGAGAATCGCTGGAGCCAGAGGCAGAGGTTGCAGTGAGCCTAGATCACATCACTTCACTTCAACCTGGGTGACAGAGCAAGACCCTGTCTCAAAAAATAAAAACAACAATGAAGTGCACAATTCAGTGGCATTTAGTACATTCACAATATTAGGCGACCATCACCACTATCCAGTTCCAGAGCTTTTCATCACTGCAAAAAGGACACCTCATTTATCAGTCACTCTTTTCTTCCTTCCTCGCGCCATCCCCTAACAAGTCCCAATCTGCTTTCTGTCTCTGTGCAGTTGTCTATTCCAGAATTTCATATAAATGGAATCGTATCTATGTGGCCTTTTGTGTCTGACTCACTTCATTCAGCAGAATGTTTCCCAGGGTCATCCTGTGTGGCCTCTATCCGCGCTCCCTTCCTCTCCATCGCTGAATAACCTCCCGTCGTGTGGATGTGCACATATGGTGTATCCGTTCCTCCACAGAGGGACATTTGGGTAGTTTTCACCTTTTGGCCATTGTGAGTCATGCTGCTGTGAACATTTGTGTATAAGGTTTGTTTGAAGACCTGGGAATCGGTGTTTTTAAGATGTGCCCAGACTTAATGAAGGGTTAGAAGCCGGAAATGGGCTGTTGTTGGTAACTCGCTGGGGGCCTGGTGAGGCCAGAACCACCTAGCTAGCCCCCTTCCCACAGGAGTTCAGCAGAAGGAGCGGGGCAGAACGTCTGCTGTGACCCCAGGAGGAGCTCAGGAAAAGCTGAGTTGGAGAATGAGACCAGCTAAGCATGGCTCCCTGCCCGCCCCACCCACCACAGTCAGGGAGGAGGCAGAGGGAATGGGAGGCAGGCCCCGCACAGGCACGCTGGCCCAGGGAGAAGGAGCAGGTGGGGCTCCCACATGTGGGTGTATGGCTGGCGGGCATCCCAGCTGATTGCCCCCTGCTTCTCCTGCAAGGCAGAAGTGGTGGGTGGGAATCTGGTGAGGGCAGTGGACAGAGGTAACCAAAGTGTCCCCTCCTCAAAGAGACCACTGACCTGGCCACAGCCCTTCACTCTTTTTGATGGTAGGATCCTCTGCATTTAGCCCAGTAAATGAAATTGCCTTTTATGCATTAAAGAATAGTTGTGCTGACTGAGGGGCAGAGCTGGGGCTCTGCTCAGCCTCCCCTGGTACCTGAAGAGCACAGGTTGAAACTGACCCAGATCAGGGTTTGGTGTGGGGGTGTTAGGGGAACATGGAAGAGGGGCTTCTCCTGGGCAGCTGTCAGGATCCCTGAATGTGCGTCTGTATGTTTCCATGTCCTATGCATCACTATTTCCTTTCGTTGTGATTTTACATCTGGAAACAATTATCCTCTCTCCCACCCTTTCCTGCAAGGGAAGCCAAAGGGGCAAGGAGAGAGGGGAGAGAGCAAGGCAAAGCCTGACTGGGCTGGAGAAGTGGCAGGTGGCCTGCTGAAAGTGGCTCTGGGACAGGGCTGTCCCTCTGCATTCCCAGACACCGGGCAGGGGGCTGTGGAGAGCTCAGGCTCCACAGGAGGCAACTGACTAGGAGCTCCTGCTGGGCTGTAGCACCTCCCCTCTTGGCCTCCCTCACCTACAGTTTCCTGCTGCCACCATTTCCTAGAGAGAGACCTGTCTCTAGATTCTCGACACGGAGGTGGCTGGGAGAAAAGCCTCAGAGCCTGCAGGCGAGCCGCCCCCACCCTCTGCTGTGGGGCCGCACCACCTGCCCACTGCCAGCCCTGGGCCTGTTGACATGGGAAGGTGGGGATGCTACAGTGCCTCTGGGTTCAGAGCCTTGGCCTCCATGAGTTGCAGCAGTGGACCAGGGTAGTGAGAGATGGGGCCAGGGTGCTCAGCAGGAGGGGCAGGGTGGGGGCGGGGCCGAGGGGTCCCTTCCCATGGAACCCAGTGTGTTAGGGGGGCTGGTTTGGCTGAGAGGGGAGAAGTGGGCATGTTCCTCTTGGATTAAAAAAGAAATGGGCAATAGGCCACAGAACTAGGCAGAGGAAGCTCCACATCCCCTCAGCTCTAGATTCATTTGTTCATTCATTCATTCATTTCCCCATACAATGGGCTCCAAATTCATTGAGCACACATGACTTTTCCCTTTAAATGTTGAAGTCTCTCTAGTGGATGGAATATTTGTAAGCATTTAAGCATATGTTTATAAAAAACATGTTAATAACATTAAATGTGTTTCTTTTCTGACAACGGGTGAGAGATCAGAGGATGGAAGTCTTCATTCAGAGCAATCACACTGTTCAGCACTCATAGCTGTCCAGGTAGAAGAAAGCCAACACTTTAGAGGAGTGACATCTGTGGCGGAACTGAGGGTGACTTTTTCTCCTTCTGCACTGTTTTGTCTTCCTGTTCCTTTCTACACATTTGTATCCAGGTCCACCCCAGGGGTGGTCCCCTACACTGCAGACCCCAGGGGGCACCGTGAGGGGTCATGCCCAGCCTCCATTTCCAGGTTAGGCACCAGCTTACCTAGCTGGGACAGGGAGACCACAGTATGGCCCCTTCCATCCTCCTGACTCCTGGTTCTTGTAGCGACTAGTGACTTAGAGTCTGCCCCAGGCTGCAGCCTTCAGCGGTGCCAGGATGGCATACCCACTCCATCTTCCTCAGCTTTGGCTGCTCTAACAAAAATACCACAGACCGGGTGGCTTACACACACAGCTTTGTTCCTCCCAGTCCTGGAGGCTAGGAAGTCCAAGGTCAGGGTGCCAGCAAGGTTGGTTTCTGGGAGGACCCTCTTCCTGGCCTGCAGATGGCCATCTCATGGTCCCCTCACATGGCAGGGAAGGAGGGCATCTCTCTCTCTCAGGTCTCTTCTCATGCGGACATCAATTCCACTCATGAGGGACATGACCTAACACCTTTCAAAGGCCCCAGCTTCTAATATCATCACATTGGGGATTTGGGCTTCACCATATGAATTTGGGGGACGCACGCACTCAGGCCACTGCACCCCCTTACCTGGGATGCTCTTTGCCTGCAAGCCCCGCCTGCACCACCCACTGAGGGGGTTGCCAGCCAGCATTTCTGTGGGTTCTTTCCCTCCCCTCCGTGGTTGGAGGAAAGGAGCTTTTGGGGCAAGAGACGAGGTAACCATCCCCAAGAAGGAAATGGCCAAATCCCACCGTGGCAGGGAGCCAGGCCTGCCTGACCCAGCCAGTTCCTGTTGGCCCAGCCTGAGGGGAGGAGCCCTTGACCACCTGCCCACAGTACCTCTTTCCCTCTGGGAGGAAGAATCCACAGAGTGGCGGCCCTGCAGTCCCCATGTGGCTCAGGCTGCCACAAAGGCAGGCCTGGGAAAGTTTTAGCAAGGCATGAGGGTGAGGGGCCTTTGCTGGAAAGGAAGGGAAGATATGGGCAGAGGTGGGCACTAGGCAAGGCTTGCCCGAGTGAGGAGAACCAGGAAGGAAGCACAGGAGGGGAGCAGCTCAGGCATGGACACAGGAGCACAGCTCCCCCAGAAACGACCTCGGACACAGAGATAGGATTGCAGGAATTCTGGAGTGTGCTCTGGAATTCCAGGGCCAGCATGACAGGGAGAGTGAGGCCCTGCACAGGGATGCAACCTCAGCAGAGGGCTCAGCCAACCCCACATGCAGCTCCAGAGCCGGGCTGGCCTTTCAGAGTTGACCTAGTCAAAGCAATGTTTGAGCCCCAACCCTGACCAATCACTGGCTATGGTCATTCCCTGGGAAAGGGGCATGACTCTGGTCTAGGGGCTCAGCTATGAGCCACGAGCAACCCACACACTCCACAGCTTGAGAAATAAATGACTTGGTCCTGAAGAGGGGTCTGGGGGGCACAGCACGGGGTCCACTGCGCCAGGAGTGTGTT